CAACCTTTCGGACCTCACGGACCACCAGTTGGCGACCACTGGTCTATGCTTTTGGAATGCACCCTTAACCTGGTCTTCCAGCTCTGCTACTGGATATTTTATTCAGGTGTGATAAGCTTTAATTTCCAAGAGCTTTTTATTGGTCCTTTGTCCTTTAAAAAATGACAATGTTTTTCAGAGCAATTTTAGGTTCACAGCAAAATTAAATGGGGGGTACAGAGATTTCTCACATACCTTTTGTCCCTACATGCATGGCCTCCCCCCCCACCCCCCCGCCAATCAATATCCTCACCAGAGTGGTGCATCTGTTACGATCGGTGAACTACACCGACACATAATCACCCAAAGGCCACAGTTTACACTATGGTTCACTCTTAGTGGTGTACATTCTGGGGTTGGACACATGTCTAATGACATGTATCCATCATTATCGTTCAGAGTACTCTCACTACCCTACAATTCCTCTGTGCTCTGCCTAGTCATTCCTCCCACAACTCCCCACTGATCTTTTGACAGTCTTCATATTTTATCTTTTCCAGAATGTCACGGAGTTGGAATCATAGTATGCAGCCTTTTCACATTAGTTTCTTTCACTTAGTTATAGGCCTTTAAATTTCCTTCACATCTTGTCATGGCTTAATAGCTCATTTCTTCTCAGTGCTGAATACTATTCCATTGTATGTACGTACCACAGTTTATCCATTCACCTGCTAAGGGCATCTTGGTTTTGGCAATTATCAATAAAGCTGCTGTGTGCAGGTTTTTGTGTGGACATAAATTTTCAATGCCTTTGTGTTCTGCTAAGAGTTTTACACTTTCTGGTCTTCTAAGTATAATCCATTTTGAGTTCATTTTTTTGTGTGTTGTAAGATAAGGGTCCAATTTCATTCTTTTGCATGTGAATATCCCCTTTTTCCAGCACCATTTATTAAAGAGACTATCCTTTCCCCATTGTGTATTTTGGCACCCTGTTGAAGATCAGTTGACCATATATGCATGGGTTTATTTCTGGGCTGTCTATTCTGTTCCATTGGTCTATGTGTTGTCTTTATGCCAATACCACACTGTTTTGATTACTCTAGCTTTGTAATATATTTTGAAATCATAAGAGTGATGCTCTTAGCTTAGTTCTTATTTCTCAAGACTGATTTGGCTAGTAGTCACGGTCTTTTGTAGTACCATATGAATTTTAGAATTGTTTTTTCCATTTTTGTAAAAAATGCCATTGGGATTTTGATAGGGATTACATTGAATCTGTAGATAGATTTGAGTAATATGGACATTTTAACAATATTAAATCTTCCAATTCATGAACATGGGATATCTTTCCATTTGTTTGTGTCTTCTTTAATTTCTTTAATCAATCTTCAGTATATAAAACTTTCACCTCCTTAGTTAAGTTTATTCTTACATATTTTGTTCTTTTTGGTGGTTTTGGAAATGGGATTGTTTTCCTTATTTCCTTTTCACATAGTTTGTTGTTAGTGTATAAAAATGCAACTGTTGGGGTTTTTTTTGCATGTTGAGTCTGTATTCTGCAACTTTACTGAATTTTAACAGGTTTTTGGTGGACTCTTTAGAGTTTTCAAAATATAAGATTATGTTGTCTGCAAACAGGGACACGTTCATTTCTCCCTTTCTAATTTGTTTGGCTTTTATGTCTTTTTCTTGCCTAATTGCTGCGATTAGGACTTCCAGTACTATGTGGAATCGAAATGGCAAGAGTGAGCATCTGATATTAGAGGAAAAGAATTCAGTTTTTTACTGTTGAGTATGATGTTAACTGTAAGCTCTTCATATATGGCCATTATTATTATTATTATTATTATTATTACCATTATTATTAGGCCTTTATTTTGAGGTACTTTTCTTCTTTTATTTTTATTTATTCTTTATTTTTCAATTACAGTTGACATTCAGTATTTTCAGGTGTACTGCACAGAGGTGAGACATTTATATAACTTATGAAGTGATCCCTGTGATAAGTACCCACCTGATACCATACATAGTTATTACAATATTGTTGACTATATATTCTCTATGTTGTACCTTATATCCCTATGATATTTTGGAACCGCCATGTATTTCTTAATCCCTCACCTTTTTCACCGAGTTCCCCAACCCTCTCCCCTCTGGCAAAGGTACTTTCCTTCCATTCCTCGTTTGTTGAGAATTGTCATCATAAAAGGGTGTTGAACTTTTCCAAAAATTTTTTCTGCATCTATTCAGACAATTGTATAATTTTATCCTGTATATGGTTAATGTGGTGTCTCACATTACTTGATTTGCATTTGTTGAACTTGCTTGCATTCCAAGGATAAATACCACTTGGTCATGGTGTGTGATTCTTTTAATGTGCTGTTGGATTCAGTTTTCTAATATTTTGTTAAGAATTTTTGCATCTATGTTTATCAGGGATATTGACCTATAGTTTTCTTTCCCCCTGGTGTTTCTGTCTGGCTTTGGTATCAGTGTAATGCTGTCCTCAT